GGCGGTGTGGCTGGTCTGGTGGGATCGGTATTGCGTATCGCCACCGAACTGAACCGAGACTCCGCAATACTGGCAATACATATACCGCCAAATACCGCATACGTATTAGTATCGACCGAACCGCCCGATTACAACCATGGGAATGGTAGCGGCCTGACAATCAATCCGGGGTCGCGTATCTTCCAGCCGGATTCTGATGGGGAGGCTATGCTAGATTTTGCCACCCTTTAAGGTCTATACGTTACGACACACTCCCGTCAGAACAGAGACGGTACCACAAACAAAGCCCTAGCTTGGCCCCACCCCTCGTTCGTCTCTTCGTAAGTCTGCCGGCGAAGGGAGCTTTGTAGCCTTCAATCCTTCCCGTTTGGGGACTTCGGCTTGCCGCGTTCATGCCGAGGATCGCTGTGAGGTAGCTGCGGTCGCCGACCGCGGGAAAGTCGCTCATCGCACTCCTGTGGGAAGCTTGCACTTCAGGCGACGAGTGGTTGAAAGCTATACACACACGCATCAAAGGAAGACCACGACCAGCGCTGCCTGTGCTGTTGTTACTGTTAGCAGTCCCTTACATTTGACCGCAGTTCCCAAAATGTTCCCAAAGTCCCATCTGAATTATACCTCCTAGCCTTCGACAAGCCCCGGCTCAGCCCCGAAGATGGCGAAGCAGAATTCAGGGTTCGAAGTTCGAGGCTTTGGGTTCAGGGTGTCTCGGGCCCAGCAGATTTGTAACAGCTGGCCTGCCCATGACGTTGGCGCTCCTGCCACGAGTGGTTTCGAGCTGCGGCTGGCTTTTAGGGCCATACGAGTACGGGTCTGAGTGAACTGTAATTAATGGGAATTTGGCAGCTCACACAGAGTTTGTTGTCGTTAATGCGTCCCGGCCTAAGACTGTGAACATCAAGTAAACTCATCCGAAGTGCAAGCTGCGGCAACGGCTCATGACAACATCGGGCCGGGCGCACATGAGCCGCAGCGAAATACTCGTCTTCTTGTGCAAGACCTGGACAAGCAATGCCGGTAACACAGTGCTCGTCACGCAACACCGACGCCCACGGTTATAGATGGACCTTCTCGGGAAAAAAAATCTACTGCTCCACCACATCCGACAAGCATCTGCCGATCGATCTACATGCTAGCCTTGGGCAAACCTGTCTATCGGTCTATCAGGCTGTGTCACCAAACTGCCTGTGCTTGCATACAGGCACTTACCCCAAAAATTCAGAAATTCTATACAGGTTGGGCGTTTTTCGGATCTAGCGGATTCAGGGAATAAAGGGAATTCAATGGGGGTAGAATATGTGTATGCATATATATATATATATATATGGAGAGAGAGAGAGAGAGGTGAGCGTGTGTGTGTGTGTACTCCCGTATGTATTATTATATGTTGTGTATATATACATACGCATGTGCATATATATATATATATACACATATGCATGTGTATACTATACATATACATACATACATACATACATACATACATACATACATACATACATACATACAGCATACTCATACATACATACATACATACATACATACATACATACATACATACAGCATATACATACATACATACATACATACATACATACATACATACATGCATGCATACATGCATACATGCATGCATGCATGCATACATGCATACATGCATACATGCAGGCAT